AAAAAAAAAAAGATACAACCAAACAATGGATAAAAAAAAAAAAAAAGAAAACGTTAAAAAATCATTCACGTTATACACACACAAACACACACACACACACACACACACACACATATTTTATCATGGGGCGTGCTATTCGGGTTTAACCGTTAACTGTCGCGAAATAACGAGATATATTCAGATGGGGACAATTCGCATCAGCCGAGCCGAATCGTCGAACGATCATCGCCATAATAATTATACAGTATAGAGTGTCTTGCAGTTGTTTCACGAAGAAATTAAAAAAAGAAAAAAAAAAAAAAAATGCTTCGCGTGGGAGTAGAAAAAGTGGCTTACGAGCACTCTCGTTAACACATGGTGTGTGAAGTACAAAAAAAGAAAAAAGAAAAATATAAAATGAAAAAAAAATAAATAAATAAATAAATAAATAAATAAAATAGGAGGAGAGACGAGAAAATGAGAAGTGTATGAGAAAGAACAAAAAACGTTCGTCGTTCTGGCTCTGCGAGTTGCTTGCACGCGCGTGCCCGGTGTATCATTAAACAGAGATTGTCGTTCGAGAAACATCGAAGGGATCGACGAAGAGAATAAAGGGTTCTACGAGCAACGTCGTCGGGAAGACTTCGAGCTTCCGGGTACACACACGTTTGATACGATTCACGAGGGTTGTAGGGGTTGGTGCTGCCATTGGATTATCGGCGATCGAACGAATAAGAGAAAAAAAAAAAAAAAAAAAGAAAAGGATGTCTGTAGTAGGGCCTAAGCATGAGTATCAAAAGAGAAAAAAAATATGGCGTAGGACGGTATCATCAAGAAGATGAGCATAAATGTGAATGGAAAGTACAAGTAGTTTGGCAGAGGACACCCGTGTATCTTTTTGGAGATCGAGGGATACAAAGAGTGGCGACAAATCGTCGGATAACGCGCACGTCCGTATGAACGTCGACGGGTGTACGACATGGATGAACCTTTTAGAGAAAAAAAAAAAAAAAATAAATAAATAAAAGCGGATAATTAGCATCGTGGAGCATTCCGTAGACGTCTTGTGATATCAGAAAAAAAAAAAAAATATTCATATAGGCATCCCGTTAAGTAAAGGAGCAAAGATCACTGCGCTAGATTGGCACGCCCTTGTTAAGAGTTTAAAAAAAAAAAAAAATTAAAAAATGCAATGTAGTCACGGTATAAAAAAAAAATAATAAATAAATAAATAAATAAGAGCGGTATTATAAATGTTACACTGATGCAGAAGTTTAAAAATCAATAACGAGAATATCATTCGCAATCGACATACATTGAAAGAAACAAATATTTACATATAGACGTCTCGTGACACCTACATTCTTAAATAGAAACTTCTTAATTGTTAATTAAAGAAAAAAAAAAATAATAAAATAAAATGAGAAAATCAGTACGCTAGATTGGCACGCCACTAGAAGTTATTCATATAACGCGCCAAAAAGGGAGAGAGGATAAGAGAGAAAAAGAATAAATAAGAAATTAAAAAAAAGGAAAGAAGCATAAGAAAAATAAATATACAAAAGTAATGAAAACGCGTTATTCAGTACTCATTATTATTCTTATTACAAGTAATGTCATTCGGTTCGAATCTTTAAAATCAAATCTGAGTAGTTATCGAGGTCAGAAGTCGCATCGTATAAATATTTTAATAGTTTGTGAATCTCTATGTGAGAATCGTTACGCGAAAGAAGAACAAATCAGGAAGGAAAATAACTCGAAATGAACTCGAAAAAAATATTAGATGCGCGGGGGCGAACACGGGGAATAAAGGCAAACAGACAGTATGATAAGTACCTATCAATTGAATCACTACCAAGAAAGAATACAAAGGAAACTAAATAAACAAGAAGAGGACAGAAATAGTAAGAATAAAGAAGATATATATGTTATTTAAGTTGCGCGCCACAAAATGGTAAAGCGGCGATCACAGTTTTGGTAACAGTTTGGTAACAGTTTGAATTAGATGAACTGCGTGCCACGATACTATTGACAAAACTGGATAAATGAATTATGAAGTTATTGATTGAAAAAGAAAAACGGGAAATAAATAAACATTATAAGAGCGAGAATTTAAAATAGCTACGCCGCTCCGGGGCCTTGTAGTTTCCTGGGTGAGGGCGCTACGATAGTCGAGATAACAGGATATTAAAAATGCTAGTAGAGGATGAGTAACGACATAGGAGAAGCACAGAAGAATGAAAATGAGAAATAAGACGGACAAATGAAAAAAAAAAAAAAAAAAACATTCTTACTTAGGCGAAACTAAAAGTAAAGAAAAAAAGATATAAATTCATTCTCTTAGTTTCTTCATAGGTTTAAAAACGCCAGCGGGACAGCTCGCTATAAATCATATTGACCCCCGAACGCAGGACGCCCTGTACCACCAACCTGTGGTCTGTCGTGTGTATGTGTGTGACAGTATCGAAACAATGCCCTTTGGAATTTTTTTAGGNNNNCAACAAACCACCAACAACAACACAAAAAAAAAAAAAAATGTAAAACAAAAAAACGATAAACGAAGGTGACTTAAAATACCTGCCACGCGACTTTTCGGGCCGGGACGATCCGAGACGTGCGATCATGTCAGGGCTTGTTTCGAGTTTCTTAAATGTGAAAAAACAAACGCATACAAAAAAAATCTGTTTTCGTTTCTCTTTGCTTACGTGTCAATTTTAATCCTTGTTGCTCGCTTTCGCGATTTTTCGGTGTGTACATGCGCGCATGCGCTGGCAACGTCGGTGAAGAGGGCGCTTCGTTTTAAGCGGAAAACCGGGGCGGAGCGTAGGTAATGACAAACTCGTTGTTTAAAGTTTATCATCGCCATGGTTCCGACGATATTGGAAATCAACGAACAGCCTCGATGGGTACTCCACGTTCTCTGGTTCCACTGTTCCGCACGAATCAAGACGAATGGACCGGTCGAGGATTCAGGTAGACAAAG